CCAGAAAGCTAGTGTACAGAACAACTTCACATAATAGTTTTTTTAGTTATAGGGGTATGTTATAGGACACAAACAGGGATATAATGGCTAATGACTTGTTGGATAACAAACTAGATAGTATTACTCACAATCTCAGATGCTATATGAATACTTGCTGATCTACTGAAACAAGATTTTCATTAGCTACCTTATCCTTAACTTAATAAAATGGTCAAGTAAAATGGAAGGCTATACAGTGTGAAGAATACCTTATGATTTTGAAAGGTAAACTAGATAGCCGAGATCTAAATAAAACGCCTCGATGTGATACACAGAACAACTTTTACGTTTATTCCTTTATGTGTTGTTCTGCTAGATGATTTGTGAAAACTCTCTTAGTTTATAGGCTTTTGTATTATTCTCTATTCTGATATTACAGGTGTAGTTCTCATTTTTAGCGTTTCAACATCCTCCTATAATTAAAAAAACAACATACAAGTATATACAAGTATGTACTGTCAGGACTAGATATTATTCTTGAATGCATCACTTTCAGTAATTATATCTTATATATGAAGATGTATCAGAAGAGGACTGAATCATAACCTTTGCAGTGGTTAGTAAAAGACTACTTCATTTCTGTTATCATTCATACCCCGGTTTCAGCTTCGGTATTTCAGTTGTTTCTGTATTCTTAACTTTTCTCAAAAGTGTTCTGTAAGGGATATAGCTTAAGGCAATTAACGATGTGTGTTGTATAGTTGTATTTTATACTATGTTTTGTGTTTACCACATTTTTCGATGTACGACCTAAGAAGCGTTCTTTCTTACTGATAAAGATCTTTGTAGAACGCTTAAACTGTGTCTTCCACATATTATGTTCGCAATGAATCAAACCTTTGCTCTTTTTTCATTGATGAATTAGAAGATTAGTGATATATCAATAAACTGCTTTCAGTAGTTTAATGAAATTAAAATATTGAATGCATATGGTTTCTGCGAATAATCCAAACAGAGAACAATGTACATAGCAATGGGATTTCGTTATGTACGAAGTTATGACTGAAGTTGAGAGATTATGTGAATCGAAGAAGTGACTTCACTACATCACCAATCTGATGTTCCACTGAGTGAGCTAAGAAATACAACAGATTACCCATCAGATTTCACTTATCTTTTAGTCACAGTATATCAAGAATAATCCGTTATCCAAGGTTATTTAGTTATCGGTACATTCACTACCAGTTACCTTCTTTTAGATCAAGTGAATACTTTCAGAAATAGTCATTCTGTTCAGATAAATCATAATTTATGCATGAAATCTTAAAACATCGAACCAGTAAAATAAGAACAGTAGTTTATAAAAGTTTATGTTCAATGAAAAGAGTTGTGAGTAGTGAAATTTGTGAGGAAGAATTTCGAATACTACAGAAACTGCTGCTAAATTAGATGGAAGTTCAGCTTAAATTAAACAGTCTAAAAAAATGTGGTTTTAACAGAGATAAACCATGCCATGCCAATTTGGTATGCGTTCCCTCGTGAATATGAAGTTGTTCAAGGTCGTTCAATGGATTTATTTTCAGTAAGCCTATCGAATTATTATATTTCTTATATTCCAGTTGTGTCAATTACTCTAAGCACATTGACTAGTCTTCCTATATAAGTATATACCTCTTTGAATGCACTTATCAACTCAAAAGCAGGAAGAATTGGAAGTAGTCACAGACCAATTCTTTTAGCATGTCAAAACCTTAATCCTAGATCTTGAAACTATTCCGATATTGTCATAAATTTCCATGCGATTAACGCAGTTCACCTGACAGTTTGTTTTCAGCACAAAAACCCCTTCTTCTTAAGCTTTCCCAAACTCTCACTAACAATATATCTCAAATAAATTTACACTCACTGACGAGTAACGCTGCTACGAGCCACCTCTTCATCTTGCTTTTTGGGTTAAAATATCGTTCACCGTGAGTTTGTTTGGAAGTAATTCACATTATATCTTACTCGGTCTCGGTTACCCCCTTTCCGGTAGTCGTCAGTGAGGAGTGTCGTTAACCCCGAGGAAAATGATGTCCCCCGGGAGATTTGAACCTGCATCGCCCAACGCTACAGTCAGAAGAGTTACCACTGAGTCATTCGAGCCGCTATTGACCTCACGTTGGACAGAAATAGGTACGTCGGTTGGTCAGTGAAGTGTAACCTATTTTATATTATCTAACTGTGAGCGCTGTCTGAATTCTATCCATCATTTTCTAGCTTGGTCACCCAGCCAGAATATTCACCATTATGTTACACTTTGACTGATTAATCCCTCTAACCATCCAGCATCAGCCTAAGTGCACCCAGATGATAAGTCTCTTATCTGAGTGACCACATTCCAAAGAGATAGAAAAGATCCAGTGAGCATCAAAAACTAGAAAGCATTAAGTTGGTTACTTGCCTGTGACCAGTTTAAATTCGTTTGGAGTTCCAAAAACCTTCATCGATGGTTACTTTTGGCCTCTTTTATTAAACCATATGGTTATTTCTACTGTTACATGTGTAACACAATATGTGATATGAACAACTTTCCATCATGTGACATGACCATTTAAACAACAGTCTACTTTCATAAGTTAGTCTTACTTAAAAGTTTATGCAACTATTTGTCACTTTCTGTGATATTAACTCAACAATTTACGAAAAAATCATGTTTACTTTCTGTAACTGACGCTTTGCCTGTGAAAATGTACAGCTGATAAGAGGATAAAATAAATAAGATTTATTCACCTTGTCCCAAACACACTGCATAGTTATGTCGTGATAATTCATTAGGATAGTATGGGGTGAAGTGAGAATGATTTCAGATATATGGTGTATTTCCTATTCAGTTGCAATTACTTACATAAACCTATACCAAGTGGATGCTGTAAAACTGATGTAACATAATATAAAATGGTAAGACAGGAGTTAAAAATTCAATTGATATATTCTCAGCGTACCTAAAATGTGCTTCAGAATTCATGAGACCAGTATAGTCTGTTCTGACATCAGTAACTTAGTTGATTTGGGGAATATGCGAATAGCTTATAACCATTCAGTTATCTGAAAACATTTTAGGATAGCATTTATGACATACACACACACTTAACAACGCTTCCTCTCAGTGTAAATGAACGGAATTCAGATTAATAAAATTAGATATTGTGAAAATAAGCATAATTACTTGAACTCACTGGATCGTAATTCATCGAGTCAATTAGTGTAAGTCGTATTATTGTTTCGGCTTGGAAGTTTGTAAGTTTCTGATTGAGTTCTGAGGAATTTCCATCGCAGATTGACAACAGCCAAAGAACCATTGGCTTCAATATGAATATTGGGAAGTTCTGGTAAGACGCAGTAACCAGTAATATCAACCGAACCAGGTGAGAGGGTAAGTAACTCTTCGATGGTATCGAGCAGCAGTCATACTACGTCACGAATTATTAGAAGTTGGAAAACATGGATCATTAGATTTCTACCAAGCGACTGAGTGTTAGGACGCTTGCCAAGAAAGATGATATTTTTAGGTTTGACAGAAATATATAACTAACTTATACCAAACTGAACACCCCTGAACAGTTTCGGTTTATCAACTATAATTTCCACAGTCTTTTGTCTTGAAAACTCAGATATCAGAACTTTACTTCTTCCAGTTATCATATCGCCTTCAATGCAATAGTTTTTTTGAACATATTCAAACTTTACTCAGACTGTAGAATGATATAACTGACATTTTAGGACTAGTAATTCTAAAGCATAGCAACTATAAGCAGGCCTGTTGCTTTTAGACCATAGTTCTGAAAATAATAGGGAGGGCATAATCATAGGACAAAAACTTGGGCACCATGGTAGACTGTAATTTCATTTTAGTTTGTTTATTAGAAATATCACACAGTGAAACGGTATTGTTCGATGGATAACGTCTCCGATATTATTTATTGCTGTATTTATTTAAAGTAACTCTACAACCTTGAGATATGCTTTATGTAGTTCTAATCTTCTCTATTCATTTGTGATAAGGGTAGTAGTATATCTGGGACAGGTGCAGAATCATTTCAATTGCACGTACTGGTGCGTATTTGATAAACGAAGATTGGGTTATTAATCTCTCTCTCCACCTAACTGTGTCATTATTTAATACTGTCGCTCTATCCCACCACATTTTGTGATTGTGTGTAATTGCATGCATGGCTGTAGTAGAGCTCCTCTCTAAATTTCCTATCTTATTAGGATCTTCTAATCTTGATTTGACCAAGTTTTGTGCTCTGTTATTCTAACTGATGCGAGTCGACTACTTTGATTCATGTGGTTAAACTCGCAATCATTGCAGGGGATTCGACAAACCAAATCATTTTGCCTAATTGAGCCAATAGGATGGTTTAACCTGTATAACTTGTTTTTAAGCAGGTTTGCTGGTTTATTATAGACACTAATCCTTAAACTTCAATCTCTTTTTCCTTTTCCAATACCTCACCTCCATCACTTTCTAATTCATAGGCAAACTCAAATTGCATTCACCACTAAATTTATATTTGTTCCGATTTCATTACTGTAAATGTGTCATCTGAATATCGGAACCATAGCTTTGAAGTAAGAGTAAAGTTCGTAAGGTCATTTGTACAGCAGCGACAACAGCAACTACTACTACTGACAATAATAATAACAATACGCCTACTATTACTGCTACTGAAGAGCAAAACTCCACGTGAAGCAGTCGTACAGTGATTGAGGCCTGTAGCAGTGCATCAAATTACTAGAACTTATGCTGTCAAATTTTCGAGCCAGTGGAAGACAACCAAATATTTTATTCGTTTCCGAAGACAGCTTTTTGAAGTTTTTATGCTACTACTTTTAAATTAAAAAGTAGTCTATTTCTTGCGACGAAAATAAAATAAAATCTGCAAATTTATTGTTATTCACAAATTTAGTGCTTTTGGTACATTACTACACACAAACCACTTTTTATCCTTATTATTTATTCGTTCTGTTTTCTTTAGACCCATGCTCCAAGTGTCGTCGTAACGAGATTTGTGAAAATGGTGTTTGCATACCAAGTGGGGTGGACTTATGTGAAGGCGTTCAATGCGGAGAACAAGCTTTCTGTCAAGACGGCGCATGCGTTTGTACACCGGGCTACACGGGGGATCCAGTGGTAAAGTGTTATGAAGAAAGAGGCGAGTTCAAAAACTTATATATGTGTATATTTAATTGACTACCACATTGCGTATTATATATACTAATGATCTCGTTTACTACGATAAGATTCCGTAGGTTCCCATAATGTGATGATATACACATTTTTAATATCTAATTGTCATTTTGCAAGAAAATTTCTTTCTCGGCGAACTTAAGTGAAGTTGTATGCAAAAATTAATTCCACCGGAATAAATAATATCTCTCATTTTATTAGATCGATGCTTTCAAGTACGTTGTCATCCAAATGCTCGATGTCATAATGAAGAATGTTCTTGTGTAGAAGGTTTTCAAGGTGATGGTTATTATGATTGTGAGCCTGAGGTTTATGGTAAGTTTTCTTATCTCCCACTCCTACCACCAATATATTTTCGGTTTATCCTACTTTACCATTAAGATGTTCTTCAAAGGGTGCTTTTCTGTTATTCTGTGATTGGACCTTTCTAACTCTCCTATGCATCCATTCAGCAAACTGTATAAGAAAATATGGTGATTTGGGGATTTTTCGGTTTAATTTCCTTTTTGAAACTATGCGATTTCATTTTCTGCATATGCATGCATGTTTCGGGTATATTTAGCATACACAAATTTAAGACGGTTGATGAACCACAGGTTTCGGAGGTATAGTAGGTAGGAATTATGTGGTTTTTATTTACGTAAACTTAAACTAGTATTTTATTGACATTTTTAAGCTTTACGAATTTCTTCAAGATTCAAACACGTTTAGCTGATGTGAATAAAGTCATGTGTATTTTAAACCATAATCGTAAGAATTGTTTTTAGTCTGATATAATGCTTAGGACACTAAGAAGTAACTCGAATGACAGTTTTTCGGAGATTTCGTGGTGCTCAACATATATTATTATTATTATTATTATTATTATTATTATTATTATTTGTCCTCTGGGTTCCTAGTGGAAAATGGGTTTCAGTAGCATATCTGCATTTCACTCTGTTTCCTGCAGTCTTTCGGACCCGGCTCCACGACCGCTCAGAAGCTTTCATTTCTTCCTCATATGATCTCCTCCATGTCACACTCAGATGCCAAATTCGTTGTTTCCCCTTTGGATTCCACTCAGAGGCCTGGCGCATGATGTCCAGTGTCCTTCCAAGCAGGTTTCTGTAGGGTTGTTGCTCAGTTTCTCCCATTTTTTTCCTGATGGCTGGTGTGAAGATGTCATTTGTAGTTTCATCCTTCAGTTAGGTTTCTGGTTGTTGATTTTGAACTTCAGCTATGGCCTAACGCCAACTTCTGTGGAGGCTTTCAACTCGACTTTGAAGGTTTTCTGAACTAGATGGTGAGTGGTCTAAACCTACATCTGCTCCCCTTCTTGATCTGATCTTGTGTCCAGTAGGCTGTTTCTCCATCTCCACTTTCTTCACATTGAGATGAAGTGTAGTGTGTCCTGGTGTCCGGTGAAGTCAAATCCATATCGTTTAGTGGATATCCTTGGGCTTGAACACAGTGCCTCCAATCACCAAATCATTGGACAAGCAGAAGTCTGCAAACAGTTCTTTATTCTCGTTCATTTCACTGAGTGCTTCTCGACCCATGATTGGTTCTCTTCCTGTATTGTCCGCTCCCAGATTGATATTCATGTCACCCCACCCATAAGAATGCATTTCGATGTCATCGTTTGGTGTGGGGTCTTGTCCAGTACTGATTGCAGTTTTCTGTAGAATTCCTCCCTCTTCTCTTGATCTGCATTATTTGTAGGTTCGTAGCGTAGCATTGTATGATTGTGACTTTCCTTCCCTTTGATTCAAATCTTGCTGTCATGGTCCTGATCCTGGAGGAAGAGATTGGTTCCCACTACATGAGAGCCTTCTATGCTCTCGAAGACATCATGATAACCACTTCAAAACTCAACGTGCCCGTAGTTGTCGTCTGGGTGACGATATTGGAGTAAATTATTGACTCTGCAGTTGACAGTTTGGAGAGTCCACTTCCTTTCGCAGATTCCTAGCCTAACACTTTTATGCTATACCTTCTCATCTCCTTTGCAATCTGGGCAGCCCTGCTGGATTCAAACACTGTTCGGACATTCCACATCCCCATGTTTGCTTTCGCTTTTATCAAGAAAGGGAAGATATCGGCCAGTTGGCTTCCAAAGGCTTTCACCAACCGGCGTCATTTCGTATCCCCGATTCCAGCAAGGAATAAGTTGATTTTTATTTTTTATATATTTTTTTGTGCTTTGAAGTTCGTTTAGCAATTGGATTGGTTTTCTGGGCTAGGGTTTCTACCCCTTTGCCCAACCTTCCCTCTTTATCCGGTCTTAGGACCGGCTAGTAACTGGTGAACTAGTTAACCAGGAGAGGTTCAATATATATGCATTTATTTACTTGTTTGCCATTTTACACTGTTTAAACAATCCGGTTTCGCTCGGCATTCACCAGTTTTCTGCCCGCATGCGCCTAGTTTCGTGTTGGGCTGCATCTACTCTGGTCTTGCGGTGATGAATCCAGGCTACAGGATTGACCCAGCAGTCCATGCGTCGAGAAATCGATGTGGGCTATTGCAGAATTGCATGTAATCTATACATAATAAATCAATTTCCTTGCTTAAAAAATTATAAATTATTCTATGTAAAATAATGGTACCAAAGTAGAGAAAATCAGCGGATTCTTGAAATTTGACTCTGTTATTTTTCCATGGCACATTATTTGTTAAAAATTTCATATGCAAAAATCTTTTGTTAGCTGAGAAGACTGTGGTTTAAATAAATAAGATTAATATTAGAATTAGTTTCATTCACAGAGGATATTTTTATTGAGATGAACTAACACTACAACCTGCAACTAGCTACTTAAATCCTTATCTTTCATAGAGTGATGATTGAATGTCAAACGAAAATTTTGGCCTAGGTGGGATTCAAATCAGAAACCACCGGGTTTCTGAGCCGGTGCTCTACCAACCCAGCTGCGAGACCCAATTGCCGATCTGATTTTTATTTTACCTCGACCACTAAGATTTTCGGCTGACTGGAGTGTGAATCCATGATGCATTACTATTGGTCGATTGTACTCATACTGCCTGCCTTGCCAGAACTTCTTATTCCAATCGAGATGTAACTGAATTAGAGAGAGGAGCATCATATTGATTATCATTTTGACCATCTGAGTGAGATATTCGTGGCATGGTATTTATACTGGTTATGATTGAAGGTGAAACAATAATTTATGCCGTGACAACCTCACTCATATGGTCAAAATGACAATCCTTATTTTTTATTTTATTTTATGCTTTCCGAGATAGCTACGTTGCTTTTTTCTTGAACTACGACTTTATTACGCATTCGTTTATAAAGAAAACCAGTTTTGAGGCGTTTTTGTTACTTTCAAGTTTCTTGGAAAAATAATGTCAATTAGTTGCAATCATTCCAGATAGACTTTTGACACTGCCAGTATTCAGCATGTTCCCATGTTGGCCTTATTTGACATAACGGACACTAATAGTCATTATTTCGTTCCAATAAATATATGAAATGACTTCAATAAATAAATAGATTCAACAAAGTGACCCTTAAAACTACTCACTCCATGAACTATTTGAACGAAATAATCACCACGTCAGTCACGCTACATAAAGCTTACATGGAAGCAGCTGGATAGTGGTAGTCAATTCCCAAACTTCCTTCATTTTTGTACTATTCTAATTATTTTTCATCTAAAGTACTGTATAGGCAAACAAATCACATACACACAAACACCCTAAACTTTAAGAAAATTATTCCAGCACACAAATTGCAAGAGAATAGTTCTTTAGGTGAAAAACGAATATTAACTCCCTAATTTAAAGTAACGTCCATCACTAATGCATACAGATGAATCTCATTTCTTTTTAATTGGCTTTTCTTGAGAAAGTATCTTGTAAGACAACATTATTTATCTCAAGTTTTAAATGCTTAAAATGAAGTTGGTATTTCACTCATCATATTTCAAATTCAATATTTCTTTTAGTGAAATTGTTTTGATTTTTGTATGAGAATATATCTTAGTGGATTTCAATAATTTCTACCTATAGTTTTTAAGAAAACTTTCACCTTACATATTTAGATAAGATTGTACCTAAAAGAGAGGAATAAACTGTATTCTCTTCAACTTTTCTGCTCATTTTGACACTAACAATGGATCCTTCTGTTTTCAGCACGTTACAACAATTTAAAATTCACAAAACATCCAAACTTTTGATTTGTAAGCATAGATTCAGATCTAGCGAAAGGCTTAACAATTATACTTTACAGACTGAAGTCAATTTGTTTCCGTGTTCTTGAAAATTTTATTGATTTTAAATGATTATGAGGACTTAAGTTATTTCCTGTTTCTTGCAAAAAAATAATTTACCCTAAAATATTTTTGAAATCTAGAGTCTAAGAGTCAATATTAGTACATTAGCTTCCAATATGGTCACTTATGATAAAAATTAGTAAATAAACAAATGCTTCAGTACAATGCACTATTTATATACCAAAAATACAAATTATATTTATCAGCGACCATGTCACAAGGTCATTGACTTAAGAAGTGGTCTGATTAGCTTAACCAACGTTTGCTTAGATATGGTCAAGAAAGTCCCCAAAACCTGCTCGGAAAATATAGTACTATCTACTATAGTAAAGCATTCTTTATGTTTAATGATAGGTTTTATTGAATCAGCCTTGTTGTTCTTAAAATGAATATTTGAACTTCGTACATCAAATGTCACGGTCACGTTACAGTAATTATTATCATTATTATTACTATGGATGCACTCTAAGTTTCAATTTCGAGTTTATTTTGTAGCACAGTAAGATACACAGTTAACTTTAAAATTAAGACTTAAATTTCACTTCTAACTAGCTTGATTCACAGATTAGTAAACGTCTACAATAGCTATGTTTGATTGCGAATCACATTTTTGTAATACACATGTTCATCGTCCTAGTACACGTTGGTTGAAATGATTATACTTTACATTTGCATTTCTAATAATAACTAT